TTTTTTTTACACAATACCTGGTCTTAAGTTGAAGATTTTTGCATAATCAACCCGCGGCGTGTTTGTCCAAAGACAACCATGGCTGAGAAATAATTCTCTTATGGTGGTCCGTTTTCCAACAAACTACAGCTACAACGGATTGCATTTCAAAAAGTATGGTGTGAGGAAATGACGGAGAAGCAGGTTATGAAACCCACGTTGATCAGCAGAACTGCCATTATTACGCAATATCTACGATTATCCTGATGCCTTATTGGAAATGAACAATTTGTTCAAGCGAAGATTACAACAAAATATTTTAATTATATCATCTGAAAAAGGACCTACCTACGAACCAAGATCTAAGTTACAGAGACAATTTGGTAGACTACGCGTTAAGTGATGAGGTAACCATTAGCCAAATCAGTTATCCTTTTGGATACCGAGTGTTGACAGAGTGCGACGCACAAAATGTAGATATTTTATTAGATTTGTAAAGAAAAAAAAAACCGTTCCCGACAGGATTCGAACCTGTAAGCCTCGAGTCCCACCTGGCTGGCTGGACTCATCGGCCGAAAGCGAGAACTTCTTGCTAGTACCGACGATGGCCACCGAACCACCGCTTTCCCGGCCATTTTTTGATGACTTTTTAAACTTTTTAAAACGAAATGGGCGTGACGTCACTAGGAGGTCACACACGTCCTGCTTGTAAAATAAGGAATAACGTCAGAATAAAATTGGTTGAAACGTGACATTTGGTGTACTATTACATGAAGGGGAATGTTGGGGGACTTTTCGTGATGCCTTACATGACGTACCCCTTGGTATGACGCAACTTTTCTGGGGTAATTAAATCCAGCCTTCTGATTGGTCGAGAGCGATCACGTGTTTGAAATACGCGATACTGATTGGCTGTGCGACAAGGTAGCCAGTATTACTACTAGCGAAAACCAGGATCATTATTTAGTAATAGTGGTACACCTACTGTAAGATTTTTTTGGACTTTGTTAATTATAAAAAGAGAGAGAGAAAAGAAAAATAGAAATTAGCGCTGTTTTAAACACCATTAATACATATTTCATGTTTTAAATGCGTAGTTAACTGCTCTTAAAATATTTTGTTATGATTTGTTTTAGAATGTGGAAGAGCACTTGGTATGGAAAATTATAAAATTCCGGATTCTAGAATCAATTCACCTGCCCGCCATTATTTTCGTCGGTCGCCCAGATATGCTCGTCTCAATGGACGTTTGTCCTGGTGCGCTGTAGGACAGACGTACTTACAAATCGACTTGGGCAGAACTTTCAAGGTGACGTCAATAGCGACCCAGGGAGGTAGAATGGATACAGGGGACAAGTGGGTGAAACAGTACAAAGTCGCATTTTATGCTGGAGCAACACGTGTCGTGTACAGTGAATCTGGGTTAGAAAAGGTAAGAAATCTCAGATTACATTGTAAGCCACATATATATTTTTGTCTTTATCATTATATTAGTGTTGTTTTTCTCTTTCTTCGTTTACTTATTTATTGTTGGTTGTACGTTTTACAAGTCACATATGATTGCGACACTATGCATGTTTTTTGATCAAGGTCTCCTTTTCAGGTTTTCAGGTATTTAGACATTGTCTTTTAAAGGTAGCTATAATCACAATAGAGTAGTTTAAAATTGGATTTTGTGTTGTAAATTGCTAGAGTGATTTTACTTGACCAGTGAACCAGATACTAACTACTAGACAGTCCAAAGTAGTAACGGCAGGGTAAAGAAGCATATAGAAAATGCAATTAGTGCATCTTGAAAGTGCGTAGTACTCTACTACCTATTTCACGGGTTAGGTAAAATTACTCTCATGTGTTTAATACATATAAGTATTATTTTCCTTTGTCATTTATTCCATCTTCATTGTTGTCTCTAGGGAAAAGTCCTTGTTCTGTTCATTAATTTACATCGCTGGGAGACCATCTTCGCAACCCTTCTTTGACAGTGTTATCACTGGTTGCTCGGGGGCAACAAATCAACCCCTTCGGTATTATTACCTAGCTATGCTTACACGCTTATAATATGGATGTTGTCACCTCTTTCCTCAGCCTATACAGGGAAATAGAGATGCCTCATGTCATGAAATGTCAGTTGAAGGAGCCTTTTGTGACCAGAAAATTGCGTATTTACCTTGGTTTGCAATTCCAACCTTTCTGCTTAAGAATGGAAATATATGGATGTAATCCTAACCCTGGTAAAATATTATCTTTGTAGCTTTAGCTTTGTTCTGTTCACACTTCTTACATTACGCAATGGGGAACACGGCAGTATAGATTAATAACCAAATTGAGAACTGAATGAGAGTGCAGATCCGGCCGGTATGCAACCACTGCTTTCTCTCTCAACCCTATTTTAGACTTTTTTGTATCAAGTCCTTAAATGACGA